ACTTTCGCGAGCCTCTTCCATTTTCTACTACGGCTATTTTTGGCAGTATGTAACGCACACGAGCGAAAAGCGACGTTCTTTGAAGGATTACAGGTTGCCAGATCAGCAGTTGGCAACTTTTCGGACCTCATGGATCACTAAATTCATAATTTTAAATCCCGCGGACCACTAATAAGGACTTATCTCCAACAGTCATTTTTGTTAAAACAATTACTTGCTTTTGCACATTTTCGCGTTTTCTTTGAAGATATTCATTTGGTTTCCTAGCTAAATCCGCGTTTTTTTTTAATTGCAAGTTTCATTCGAGTTTGGAAGGTTTCATGGCATCATGGGATGAACTCTGAGAAACACACAACACAGAGAGTCCTGGTCTCTTTGTGTTGGCGACTGCTGGTCTCTTCTGTCAGTAAAACTACTCAGATACTTCGCGTCGTTATATAACTGAATGCGAAAGAAATCTCCGAATTCCGAGGTAACACGGAATTGAAGGTTGTGTCGTCAGCAAATAGAATTGGTTTGAGGTGTTGAGAGACATTTAGAAGGTTATTAATGTAGATGACAAAGAGGAGAAGGCCATGTATGCTGCCCTGAGGAACACCAATGTTGATGGGTAGGGTGGGAGAAATTGAATTATTCACAGAAACATACTGAAGCCAGTCAGTAAGGTAAGATTGAAGGTATTGCAGGGAGTGACCTCTGACTCCATATTGATGTAATTTAAGAAGAAGGTTTTAGTGGTTGACAGTGTCAAATGCCTTTCTTGAACAGTGTTCAAGAAATGTGTAAATACTTCATTCACAGGGATGTACTACCAGAAATCCTAGCCAAAATATCCACATTTGTACTTACTGTAAGTTATGTTTGCATGTGTCTGCCCGAAACGCTATGCGTATTAGTGGCTTTACAAGAATGTGAAAACATCAATGCTATGTACTCTCATAAACCCAATGTACCTTCTTCTATATATATAAATAAATAAATGAAAGCTGCCGCCCAGTTGGGTGGGTGTGGAGCAGATGTGAACTGCCTTGTTTACAGTGACTGTTGTGGGCCACTTCTTGATTCACTTGAAAGATGAAAAAGACAATTGATATACTTAATATATTCAGTTCCTGAACCCAATAGGTGCCTCTGGAAGCATATATAGCCACCACGTACGGGGTGGGTATGGGGGGCGCATAAGTAAGCGCACACAGCACCGCTCCTGTGCCAGGTAAGTCCACTACGGGTTCACCATAGCCCGTGCTACTTGGAACTTGTTCCGAGTAGCTGAATCTATAACAACAACAACAGCATCATAAGTTAAACTAACTGACTGTTGGGTGGAACAAAATACATCATAAGTCTTCATGGGATACATATTAGATGCTGTTCAAGTATATTGAGATAGTAAAATACACGTCAAAAGGATGGAGTGGCTTAGGGTATTTCTACCCCCCTCGAACTTGTATGCGGTTCAGGTGGGCATTGTGGAGAGGTAGTCAGTGAGGTGTGAGGTGTGAGGAGGGAAGGTGAGAGGTCTGTGATTATGAGTGGTGGTGAGGGGGTGAGATGGTGGGGGAGATTGTGGTGCAGGCGAGACTGTTGGTGTTGGAGACTCGCGGAGGAGGGGATGTGAGGTGAAATGAGGTGAGGGGGGGGGGGGGAGTGGTGGTGAGGTTCTCTCTCTCTCTCTCTCTCTCTCTCTCTCTCTCTCTCTCTCTCTCTCTCTCTCTCTCTCTCTCTCTCTCTCTCTCTCTCTCTCTCTCTCTTTCACGTCCTCGACACGAACAGCGCTCAAGAGTCGTAGTCCAAAGGGCCCCGGTTCGATTCGTGGTCTAGGTACAAACAAATGGATAGTTTCTTTCACCTGTTGCCGCTGCTCAACTAGCAGTAAATAGGCACCTGGGAGTTAGACAGCTGCTACGGGCAGCTTCCAGGGGAAGTAAGCGTGTATTAGATATATATGTAGTAGACATAATAGATGGGAAAAAATACTTTGATTAGAAAGACGGGGGTCCAGGAGCTAATAGCTGGATTATGTAGGCACACATAGTAAATACAAATAGTAAATGCACGCACCCAAATAGAACATATATGTGATTTTCTCGCTGTGTTGCGTATATTATCACCCCGCCGCCGTCGACGTAGATAACAGTTGACTCGAAGATTGAGTGAAATTATCGGTCGGTTATTACCTGAAACAGCAATATCAGCGGGGACATCCCTGAACACTGATACCACCCTTCTTCCCCCCATCTCCTTCCCCCCATCACTACCACCACCCCACAACCACCACCATTACCACCACTACTACCAACACGGAATCAGCATCCTTATGCATGAAACCAAGATTGAAAAAGTATCGTGGTTTGCAACAGGACAAGTTGTGGCCAGAACTATGAGGGTTAAGCTCTAACGGACATGCTAATGGAACTAAATCACACAACCCAAGATGATAGAAAAAATACAGGGGGGGGATATGATCCCTGCATACAAGATACTGTTAGGAATGGAAAGAAGTGGACAAGGCAGACTCTTCAAATTGAGAGAAAGTAGGACAGGAGGACACAGGTGGGAGCTGGAAACGCAAATGAACCGATGGAATACAAGGAAATACTCGTGCCCTTTATTGGTGGTCAACAAGTGGAATGCACTGAAGGACGAACTTGTGGAAGTCACCTCCATCCACGACTTTAAGGCCAGATTCAACAAAGAATTTCGAACATCCTATTACTGAACTTGTAGACACAACGGGTACAGGGATACAAGGTACAAGAGCGGAGCATAAAGAGTTAAACTTCACTCCCCCGTAGACACTGATAGGTCAGCACTATCACCACCACAACTACCGTCACAATCACCACCACAATCACTGCTACGACTACCACAACCACCACTACAACGATCCACCAACACCACTACCAGTGGTGTTGGTGGATCGTTGATTTGCAATGAGACGCGTCGCAGAATTGCAAGAAATGGAGTATGAAGAGAGACTAAAAGAACTGGCACTAACGTCGCTAGGAAAGAAAAGAGAAATAGAGAGGAGATATGATAAAGACATATAAAATACTTACGGAGATCGAGCGAGTGGAAAAGGGAAAGAGATGTTCACAATGAATGCCAAGAACGTATGGACAAGGGTAATAGCTTGCGTCCCCGCTGTAAAGGCGGGGACCCAAGAGCTCTAGGTCCGCTCTGCAGGCACAAATAGGCGAGCACATACATCATGTGAGATGTAATCACACTGATAAGCAGTCAACCTTGATCAAAATTATCAAAATGAACTAAACAATGAAATCACATTAACTTGATGTGTTTATAAAAACGTATTGGGACAATGATATACAACCCGTCCTCAGACCAGGAGCCAGATTCACGAAAGCACTTACGCAAGCACTTACGAACCTGTTCATCTTTTCTCAATTTTTGGCGGCTTTGTTTACAAATATTAAACAGTTAATGAGGTCCGAAGCACCAGGAGGCTGTTTATAACAATAACAACAGTTGAGTGGGAAGTTTTCATGCTTGTAAACTGTTTAATTATTGTAACCAAAGCCGTCAAAGATTGAAGAAAGATGTACACGTTCGTAAGTACTTACGTAACTGCTTCGTGAATCTGGCCCCAGGTCCATTCCATCCAGCGGTCGACCCCAAAGACGCATTTATCAATGTTAACATGCTATTCATTCAAAATAGAAATTTTCTCAAATATAAATTAATATTGTTATATATTAGGCTACTGTGCATATTTAGGTTAGATGTTTAGGTTTTGTTGGCGGTTATTTGAATTTGTAGTACGTGGGTGAAGCATTTACAGCGTTGTGGTTCGAAGAATGTTCGCCTGTGAAGCTCCTATTCCGGAAGTGTTCGGACGTCAACAGTTGTCAGTCGTGTGTAAACCGTTTTTCATTCATAAACAGGGGGTTTGGCGGGTGGATGGAATCACTTTTTAGTCTTTGTTTGTGAGGACGGGCTGTCCTCATAATTAACTTAAGTTCTAAGATTATAATTGTTTAATGGAGATAATGAAGCCTGAAATATTTGTTTCGAAGCTTCAGCACAAAAGGTGGTTTAGTCCGGCCGGATTAATCCGATTTAGTCCGGTCGCCGTTGTGGCAACTCGTGACGTCAGCTTGCCAACCTTGTCCTCTTCAATCCCATTTACATCGCATTTTGACGTCAGAATCCCCCAACGGATAAAATACGATGTACTATAAATCACAGCCGATTCACAAACATTCACGTTTTCTATGAGTGGGGTCGCTCGGTTAGGTTAGGTTAGATTTGGCATCTGGTGCTTTAGTTCACCGTATTCTAACCGTTGTGGCAGCTCGAGAGAACGAACGCTGTCTTCACAGATCACAGTTAACCCAATTAAACCCCATGTGTTAAGTGATTTAATTGGGTTAATTGCAGTTAATCTCTAGTATGACCGTAGTGGGACTTACAGGACAGTGTTAGCTTGGGCTGGGCGGGGCCACAGGCTCATCACCCCCTTCCCCTTCTCCCCCTTTCCCTGCCGCTTTCCCTCCCACACCCCCCTACCCCTGCCGCACCACCCCTCCCATATCGTCCACCAGACTGCTTGTCGCCCCTCACCGGGTTCACGGAACTCGTTGTTTATCACATTTCTGCGTGTTTATGTTATCTAAATCATCACCACACACAGCCTGGTCACCATTTGGTCCGGGAGACATCTCCCGTCACGCAGGGTGCAGTCGCACCTCCACAGATCTCCAGTATCAGCTCCTGATACTGGTAATGGCTTAAAATGGCCACCACTTATGGGCTATTTATGCCCGTGCCACCTTTTGGGTGGCTTCATCTTCATCTTAACACATTCACAAGGGAGACATCTCCCGTCATGCAGGGTGCATTCGCACCTCCACAGATCTCCAGTATCAGCTCTTGATACTGGTAATGGCTTAAAAGGGCCACCACTTACGGGCTATTCATGCCCGTGCCACCTTTTGGGTGGCTTAATCTTTATCAATCATCAATCAATCTAATTCATTATGCGTGATGTAAAGAATGTAAAAAGAGTGAAGACGCACTCTGACGACGTGGTCACCGCTGGACGGTCACGCACCGAGCCAGTTCACTCTCAGACGAGAGGTAATTGATTGATAAAGATTGATAGAGATTAAGCCACCCAAAAGGTGGCACGGGCATGAATAGCCCGTAAGTGGTGGCCCTTTTGAGCCATTACCAGTATCAAAAGATGATACTGGAGATCTGCGGAGGTGCGACTGCACCCTGCGTGACGACGGGAGATGTCTCCTGTGAGAGGTAATGTTGATACAATTGACGAACCAGCGACTTTGGGGGAGATTCCCAACGTCGTCTGAGTGTCGTGGCGGTGCAGGTATAGACAGCTTGGCGCCGCCTGCACCCTTAACCTCACCCATAGGTCATAATGGGTCAGCTAGTCACCTCCTCTCTCTCACTCCCCTCCACTATACCCCCCATCCCACGCACCACACCCCAACCACAACAAGCCGGTGACTCATAATCCCTCTTCCGTCTATTTCCCTTCCCCCCCCCCTCCCACCAACTCCACCCTCCATCAACCAAACAGTACAATGACAAGATTTATAGTTCTATTATTTGTTGTCTTTGAAACCTTTGAAGAGAATTAATGTATGATAGTGAATAACTTCCGTGAAGAAAGTGAAGGGTTTTAGAATATCCCCGTCTCCCCTTCACCATCCCCCACCATGTTAAAGCACCATCACTATACGATTGATTGATGAAGATGAAGGGGCGCGTAAGCATCACTACGCATGTACGCACACCTCCCGAAACAAGGATAATATGGATGACAATAACAGAGAAAGTTACTGCATTTTCCATACTGTTAAACGATTAAATACATCTCAAAGGGATAGAGAAGATTATGTCTACCCTCCTTGAAGGAAAGACCCAATACGTAAGAGTATAATTTCAACCAAATTTGGGGATGAAATCTACATATTTTATCGAGGATCTGTTATACAATGCTTAGGACGTTGAACAAATCCACAAGGGCCGTGACGAGGGTTCGAACCTGCGTCCGAGAGGATCCCAGACGCTGCCTTAATCGACTGAGCTACGTGGATTTGTTCATGTGATGCATCACGCTATTGTGATTTCTGCGTGTAATTCAGGACGTTGTTTGGTTGGGCCTTGATAAAGCATTTAGGTTTCACAGGAAATTTTGGTTTAGTATTATTTTTACAGGTATTGGCTCTTTCTTTCACAATGATAATATATGGTCACATATCACAAGTCACAATCGACTTGAGAATGATCCAGGACGGTCCGTCTAATTACCAAAAACTACCACATACTACACACGCTTCAGAAAACTTCCTGGCAATACGTTAGTAATGAATAAATATGATATATTTACTCATTACAATGTTGGTGCTGAACATACAACATGAAAAAACATAATTTTAATCCGAAAAAGTATCTTTTTATAAAGAAATTAGACGAAAATAAAAAGCTGGTGACGCCAAATCAAGTCGACGATCCAAGCTTCGGTTAGGTTAGGTTAGGTTTGGTTAAGTTAGGTTAGGTTAGGTTAGGTTAGGTTAGGATAGGTTAGGATAGGTTAGGTTAGGTTAGGTTAGGTCAGCCTAACTTAATATATCATATTTATTCATTACTAACGTATTGCCAGGAAGTTTTCTGAAGCGTGTGTAGTATGTGGTAGTTTTTGGTAATTAGACGGACCGTCCTGGACGGACCGAAACGTCGTCGCCCCTTCACCTTCAAGTGTGTAAGTCTGGTCAACTTACTTTAGCCACGTTATTGTGACTCATCGCCTGCATATGGTTATAATATTTTTCGTAATAAAAATTAACTTATAAAAGGCGAAATAATAATAAATAGTGTTTTATGAATAAGGTTAATAGCAGTGGAATTAGTAATAGTATTGTTAATAATACAATGAGAAAATAATTACGTTAATAATAATGATAATAAAAATGATATCAATATATAATGATGATAATGCGAAAATCCACTAGGGGCAACGAGGTGGGCGCGAACCTGCCACTTTGGCATTGCCAAAGTGGCAGGTTATTGTTATTTATGTATTGTTGATAGGTTATTGTTAATGATGATAATTATACCAACAATCCCTACAATACAATAGAGCAGAAGAGCACTTCTTCTCCAATAACAACAAGAACACATCTCTTCCAGGAAAAGCACCTACCCTTCCCCTCCCCCCCTCCCTCTACCTCCTTCCCACCCCTTTCTTTTCCTGCTCCTCCTTCCATCCTTCTCCTACTCCTCCCTCCTCCCCCTTCCACATGCGGCCCCCAACCAGATAATTGGCGAGAGTGGTGATGAAGGGGGAGAAGGGGGGGAGGGGTGAAAGGTTGATCGTACAGGTGTTCTCCCGAGAGAGAACCACTCCTTTGACCTGTCTTGACCTGTCTTGACCTGTCTTGACCTACAGCTAACGAGGAGGCCCGCCTGGAATTATGAGAAGCAATAAGCTGACTGCCCCCTGACTGCCTGCCTGGGCCAGGGGAACGACGCATCTCTGAGAGTTTGGCATGATCCCTGGTTAGGGGTTCATGCAGCTGTGTGTGTGAGAGAGAGAGAGAGAGAGAGAGAGAGAGAGAGAGAGAGAGAGAGAGAGAGAGAGAGAGAGAGAGAGAGAGAGAGAGAGAGAGAGAGAGAGAGAGAGAGGAGAAGAGGAAATGGAATGAAAGAGGGGAGAGGTTACAAGAACCTTTGAGAGTTACACAGCCATGATAAAGAGAGAGAGAGAGAGAGAGAGAGAGAGAGAGAGAGAGAGAGAGAGAGAGAGAGAGAGAGAGAGAGAGAGAGAGAGAGAGAGAGAGAGAGAGAGAGAGAGAGGGAGAGAGGGAGGGGAATGAAAGAGGGGAGAGGTTACAAGAGCCTTTGAGAGTTACACAGCCATGATAAACTCAGTAATCCCATCTTGAGAATGATGGTATAGTGAGTCTTCGGCGTGTCAAGAAATATTCCAGTGACGCCTCCTCCGCGGCGTGGCCCGCTTACACAGCTCTCCAAGACGGATCAACGGCTGTATATACCAGGGATCCTGGGTTCGATCCCCGGGTTGGGGAAGTTTCTTCTCACCTGATGCCTCTGATCACTTAGCAGTTAAGAAGTAGGTACTCGGGAGTTAGGTTATAACTTTTGTGGATTAGGGATATATAGTTTGATATATATATTTATATTATATAATTATATATTTATATAGAAGGTATAGGTACCAAGGGAGACCTCGACACAAGGTCGGAAAGGCTGATCGTCTAACGACTTGTCGGTATATAGCGGTGGCCTCGATTCTTGCAGGTCGGCGTTCGATCCCCGATGGTCCAAGTGGTTGGGCATGGTTCCTTATCTCAGTATTGTTATCCAGGCACCTTTTTCCTCACACTATTTTTGCTCACAATTTTCCTTCAAGTGCTATATAGTCGTACTGGCTTAGCACCTTGTCCTCATGCTTACCTTACCGTCTAAATATTCCCGATAGATTTACAAATTAAAATTCTAAATTTACAAAAATAAGCGAAAGGAATGAAGATTTTTTTTTTAAATACTAACTTTTTTTGATAGCCTAATGAAAAGTTACATATTATGACAGGCTCCGATGTCGACCAAGTTCACTATTTATAAAGTTCCGTAACGACTAAAGTTTCGCAACTACATCGTTCTGTTACGACCAGTTTTTCGTATCAGCTGAAGTTTCGTATTTACAAGCGTTCTATAACGACCAACTACCACATCTCCAAAGTTCCGTAACGACTAAGTTCCATATCTACAACGTTTCGTAACGATCAAAGTTAGCTCTCTACAACGTTTCGTAACGATCAAAGTTAGCTGTCTACAGCGTTTCGTATCGACCAAAGTAAGCTATCTACAGCGTTTCGTAACGACCAATTTTCGTGTCGTGAGTGTTCCAGTAGTAAGAAACACTCACGAGAACCAAGTTCCGTAACACAAGACGCCAGTGTGCTCCTTAACCCAGTAACGTTCTTTACCGTCTATAGGACGTACACGTCCTAGAAGTTCCTAAAAGAAAAAAACATACAATTCCTTGTTCTCCCAGAAAGTGTTCCGTAAAGAAGTCACAGCACTGGAAGCTCCTTGTTGCCGAGTGTTCCCTTGACTGGAGACTCAGGAGACGTCTCCCAATCAGGGAACGCCGGCGGTGCCGAAGCCTCACCGTGATTATCCCCAAGAATAAGCGTCTTACAGCCAATCTGATTCCCTTCACAGGATGCAAATATACAAAAAAAAAATTCTTCTTCTGTGATTTCCACCACCTCGCCTCAGCTACGACGGCAGCGTCAGTGTAAAACCAAGTTTACCATCCACCAACTTGTCGTTCTTTCCCCCTCCCCCTCTCTCTCTTTCTTTCTCCTCTCCCACCCCTTCCGTGTCCCCTCTCACTCTCTCTCTCTCCCTCTCTCCCTCTCTCTCTCTTCCCCCGCTATCCCTTCCACCATCTATCCCCCCTCCCTACCAGCCTCTTCCCAGAGTTTTATGCCACCTTGGTGATTTCTGGACGAGTTTTGAGGCGTATTAATTGACAGTCATTCTCTCGAGTTAATAAGATTACCTGTGTGTTGGGTGTGTGTTCCCTGGGAGGGAGCTGGAGTCGAGGATAGGCTGGGTATTGTTGTAGGCTCACACTGTGTGCTTAGTAGTGTGTGTGTGTGTGTGTGTGTGTGTGTGTGTGTGTGTGTGTGTGTGTGTGTGTGTGTGTGTGTGTGTGTGTGTGTGTGTGTGTGTGTGTGTGTGTGTGTGTGTGTGTGTGTGTGTGTGTGTGTGTGTGTGTGTGTGTGTGTGTGTGTGTGTGTGTGTGTGTGTGTGATACGAAGCTTCTTTGTTTTTTCCCTATGGTTACTTGCTAAAAAAATATATAACATGTCAGTTCACGTGTCAGTTGTCTGAACAATGGGGTTTTCCGTACACGCAAGAGTGCCTATTAGTGTGCTTCTTGTTACTGTGTCCCCCCCAGCTAATCGTTACACGCATCACCATACACGGTGACACGAAATCCAAACGAGGAAACGAGCACTTAGCAAATAAACACCGAGAAACAGTCGCCGGAACTACAATTCGCTCGAGACACTTGTCCT